CTCATCCTTCAATTAACATAGGGAAAGGAGATTTATGTACAGAGCAAAAAGGGGGCATGACCCCCAAAAAGATTACAGAATTTATGTCGTGATATTGCCCCCTCCCCAAGCTAAAGCCCTCTTTCTTTGCTCGATATCCTCTTTTACCCTTAAAGCCACATGCATTGCCGACTCGTAGATGTTGTTAAAAAATCTCCTATTCCTTTCCTTCCATATGTTCCACAACGTGTAGATCACCATTCCGTTGAAGCGCCTTTTTTCTTCTTTCACTATCTTGGCTGCTGCACCTTCCCACCATGACTTCAGATGATGTGGGTCTTGAGTTGGGTGGATCAACTGTACATCAAAGTGCTCCCATGAAAGAATCTGACTCCACACCACCTTGGCGAAAGGGCAAGATGAAGGCATATTTCCAAAGGTCCATTACATAGGGCGAATTGATCATGATGAGGCCAACCCCTCTTCTGTAGATTATCCGCCGTTAGGATTTTTTCTCGCACCAGGATCCAAGCAAACACTTTACCTTTGTTCTCCGCATGCGCTTTCCATATGAGGTCATTACGGAATTCGCTATAGGAACCTTTGAACTTGATCCTATACGCTGAACGGGTGGAGCAAGAGGCATCAGCGGTCCATCTCCAAAGTATAATGCCTTTTATACTTTTTGTGGGCCCTTATTCGATGGTTCCTTGATTCCTTCCTTTGGGGCTAATGCTTCATCATGGAGATAAAGATTCTAGTTTTCTTTCTTCCACCTTTCTAAAAACTTGATAGACAAAGAAGAAAAAGGATGGGCCAGGTGTATTCAACGGATAGATAGACGTTGCAGTAGCAAATCTTTCTCTAAAAAATGCTAACTGATATCAAATCATGAGCTATGATTGAGCACTACTTAGCCCCCAAGTGGAAAGGTGCACGGAATAGGGTCCTGCTGCTACATAAGCTCATGCTTTTGAGAAACTTTCATGCATATAGAGCAACAAGTGACTAGTCTTATTTAATGTATATATACTAAGTGGACCAAAATGCGCTCCTTAACGCATAAACAATCTCGGTATCAGTTTTATATATTTTGGATACGATAACTAGGCATCCAAATTTCCCAGAAGGCCAGTTCGCTCAAAAAAATTCCCAGAAGGCAACCTCTGCATGTATATTCCTTTTGCTCTTTTTGTATAAAAGAGAAAGATAACAAAGCGATTTTTCCCCAACAAAGATATATGGGACCATAAAAAATGCATGCTAGAAAATAATATAAAATCATATTAAATTTCCGCACTTCAATTTTTTTTTACAATTTTTGGTAAATTCCATGATACAACCTCTAATAACAGCTTGCCTCAGTCAAAGTGTCTGGTGCAACATCAGTTGGGCTACCAACTAGGGCCCTGTTTGATCCATCAACTAAATTTTAGCTGGCTAAATTTAGCTGCTAGATATCCAAACAGCCCAGCTAAAAGACCAGAAAAAGCTTAGCTGAGTCTATTAGCTGGAGAATCCAAACACCCCCAACTAAAGTTTAGCTCTGGAAACTTTTAGCTGGCTAAGATTTAGCTTTTTTTTATATGCAAAAGATTAGATGCAACAGCCCTAAAATTTAGTTGGGTGGATCCAAACTGTGGCTCTACTTGGCTGCACTAATTTGGATGCAACAGCCGCTGCAGTTGAAAAAAATCCAAAACACTAGTCCTGTAGAGTAGTACTGCATGTCAAAGATAGAGCACCCGATCAGGCTTCAGCATACGAAGTAACAGTGTGCGGTGCTCTCTCTACATGGACAAATCAAAAGGACTGCTAGTTAGGCTTTGGTAATCGTTCTCGTAGTGAAGTGCACTTTTTTGTTTAGTGACTCCCATGCACACGCAAAACCTTGTTGTCCGCATAGTGATGTACTGATGTGTGCTTTTTTTTTTAGCCTGAACTTCTAGTGTATAAGTTGTAGCATCTGAACTCTATATAATACACACTTACACCAACACACACGCACACCCTAGAAGCTACAATCTATACACCTCAAATATCATTTTGGAGATCACCGAAGCCACACGAACCTCGTAGAGGACAAGCACATCGTAGTCCTATTATAGCGCCACATGAATGTCGAGAACCTGCGACACCCGTTCGTCCCAACTGGGAATCGAACCTGGTGGGCACGCTCCACAACCGGAGACGCTGCCACCGCGCCACGAGCACGTTCGCTACTGATGTGTGCTTTGCTTAGTGACGCAGTGGCGCGTGGTCTGATGATCGCAAAGAAAAACACAAGGGTTGCGTCAAAAAGGGTCAACTAGGTGGAATTTTGACCATGCCAACACCCCTTCCATCACATAAATACCAAAAGAAGTGCATCTAGCGTTTCGTGGCCGTCTTTAGTCCTGCTCCTTGCAATCCGCCTTTCCTAATCTCTTTTATGCACCAGTCACCTCATATTCTTGTGATATTGCGTGCCAAGTAGATCGATACTTTATGATTATTTATTGTAAATAAATTCACATTCTTTGGGATGTACGTAGGTTTAGAGGTGAAAACAATAGGGATAAATTATGTTCTAATTTCTACATTTAGCGCGCTCGAATTCATAATGATGGCCATTCCAAACGTTTTCGATTTTTTTCTGTTTTTGCCAAACCACTTTTATAATATTGTCATCCTATAAACTTTATGGTATTGAATTAGAATTATTTATGTGTAGGCAGTGTTGCTATGCTAGGTCAGTTAGGTCAGCATGTGAAGTCATGTTTCTTGGTTCTATGTGTCTATGTTCTCATTTTGTCTTTCTATGTCCGGTACGTTATCAACATGTTCCCGTTCGGATTGATCCGTTTTCAATTTCGGTGATTCTCGTTCCCATTTTTGACCTTCCCAATTTCAATTTAGTCTCTGTAATAAAATGAAAAGTGAAAACAGGAAAAAATTTATTATGGCCGATCCCATCCATTTTCATCCCTACATAGAGGAATAATCCTCTATTGTCTTGCCTGCTGCAAATGAATCAATAATCCTTAGTTACCTCGGCATAGAAGTCGTCGTCCATGCCAGGCTTGCTTGTGACCTTATATTAACTTGGGGGCTAAGGTTTTCTTTTTTAGAAATGCGATGTAATATGCTATTTCAGATAAGTTGCAAATTAAATGTCAACGAAAATGGTTGCTCATTTCTCCCTTTCCTCTTTTATTTTTCATCAGTGCAAAATGGTCGCTCTCCGAGCTATCGTTTTGAGAAAAGAAGAGGGTGTCACCAACGTACGGTGCCTGTGCAAATTCTAGAGAAGTGGAGGTCGCATTTGGCAGAACTTGCCTCATTTGTTTGTTCACCCCCTTGCAGCGCAGGCCGGGCCGTTGTTCTTTGCTTTGAGGCAAAGCAAAGTCGAGGGGAGCAACCAAAAAAAAAATCACCAAGGAACCAGAACCGAACCTGATCCGAGCAAAATTAAAGCTGGAATTCGAGCATCCTGGCATCCTGCACCGTAAGCTGTTAAACAAATCAGCGTGTGTATATAATCGCCCTTTTTGTTTGACTTTATAAGCCGTACTTTTCAGCTAACGAACAATATTTTCCTTTCATAATAAATCAATGAACAGTACTTTCAGTCATGGCTTATCAGCCAAGCGAACAGGACGAATATGTATATCCTTCACTACGTCAGCATAAACTGTAGAGCTTTTTATTTATTTATTATTCATTTCATGTGGCCGGAGCAAGTAATTAAGCTACTTATGGAGTATATAGATAGATATAGTATATAAGATCCTGATTTGTAGCTAATTAATTTTCACATTTAGAGACGTCCGTATTAATGGATGTAGGGTTAGCTTAGTCCCTAAGTTTCTGCCACGTCCGTCGGAGGCTCGGAGCTATGCACGGACCGAGCCAGTCCATCAAGGCCGGCGTGTGCGACGTACGTGCATGGACCGGACGGTCGATCGGCCCGTTCGGTTCGGTTGGTTCGTATCATTGTTGCTGGTTCGTGAAAAAATATTGTTGATTGGTTTGTGTGAGAGAAATACTGTTCCGATTAAAATTTACGATCGTTTACGACAAGCCATAGCTAAACGAACAGGCTACGAGAGGTTGGGAGGATCGCTGCGGTCGGCTGCAGACGTACTGGACTTGTGTTATAACCGTATGCCGGAACAGTATTTTACTTTGTTTTTTCTGAAGCGAACGGGGCCGTAACCTAATCGCGCCAGGGAGTAAATCCGTATTAGTAGTCAAATTGCTTAGCCATTCCCCGGGGTTTTACTAACCCTACTAGGTTGCCGACGGCCGACCTGGGACTTTCATCCGGTTTCCGGCGTACTGTAGAAAACTCAACGGCGCTCGATCCGCTACCTATATCTCCCTGATTTGGACCATGCGTGCCACGCGCGTTTAGTAGGGATCGAATGTTGATTAGCACGAGTATTGGCTTACGTCACGAGGTCTCAACTCAACTGCTGGTACAAAAAAAACCCTCGACGGATGGCTCCAGCCTGATAGGAATAGCAGCAAACTAGTCAACTACCCCCCGCGTTGCCGCGGGACAGTTAATTATTCCGGAATTTGGAAAAAAAAGAATATATATATATATATAAAAAATTCTACTCCCTATATGGAAAAAAATTCTACTCCCTAGGGTAGTTACTCTCTCCTCCCAACCATGTACTCATGTCCATGCGTTAGTACTCTTAGCGGGTCACAAATAATTAAACCCGATAAAACATATCCAGTCATCCACCGAGTAAATATTTTTTAATCATTATTTATCCCTCCGCTGGACTCGCTAGATGAGATAGGTACGATCGACTTCCATTCAAATTCATTCATATCCCGCGATGTCTGCTTCGTTCTCATCTAGTTCGTCGTCACTGTAGCACGGCAGGGAGGCAAGGCGCGCCACCATCGGCGACCGACCTACGACGCTGCATGGAGCAAAACCAGGGTGAGTGGGTGACCGCAGGCTGTGCTGCATGCGTCTCTCTCTCCTCTCTGCTGAGCGACGCCGTGATCCAGATCAAGGCATGGCGGCGGCACCGCAGCAGCAAGATCCTGGCGGTAGTGGGACACCATGGCGTTCTCCCCCAAGAAGAGTTGTGCCACCGCTTTCTCTTGATGAGTGTGGCAGGGCGCCTGGCGCACTCCCCAACATGCGCACGGTGGCCCTTGGTCCCGTGGCTGGAGATGACAATAGTCTTTCCATCGATGCCGAGCAGGAACTACTCTACGTGCCTTCTCAAGCCGGCAACGGGAAGAAGATTCAAGAACACACGAAGCCATGCGCAAATCTACACGAAGGAGAACCTGCAAAAAGCTGTTAGTTGTTTTTAATTCATGTTATTTTCAGAAAATAGTATCTTTGCATACTTTTTTCATATAAGTGTATCGTTGGATACTTCTTTCACGGATTAGAGTATCACATGATACTTTCTTTGATTAGAATAGTGTTTTTCATATAAGTGTATCGTTGGATACTTTCTTTGGTAAATACTCCATCCGAAGCTGCGAACTTTTACCCACCAGTTCAATAGCAGATCAAGCGTGAGACAGGAGCAATGGCGTCTGCAATTCCATGATTTTTTTAGATGAGAGTATCATCTGATACCTTTTAGACAGAAGAGTATATTTGGATTCCTTTTTCAAATTAGATCCAGTAAGCATGTACGTATTCATACTCCATAAAAATAATTATGTACTCATACTCATAAAAAATGTATGTACTCGTACTATCATTACACGTGTGCGCTCATACTCCTTTGGTAGGTATATGTATATAAAGCATTTTCACATGTGCCATTAATCATGTGTGCATGGAAAAATTCAATGATACTCATACTCATAGTGTAAAAAAAAATGCCCTTAAGTTCAAATGTTATTAATTTTTTGAAGCATCTTATTGACTTCAAATGAAAAACTCAAAACTAGAAAGTTGTAGATCTCTATCATATAAATTTTTTCATTTAATTCATGTGCGAAAAATCATACTATAGATCTCGACGAGATTTTGGTTTTTTCATGCTATAATACTCACTAGTATGTAAGCATACTCTATTGTGAAGAAAAGTATATGCATATACTCTGAGTATAAATGCATACGTGCTTCTAATAGTATGAATACATACTCTAATTAATCTAGTGATACGTGACTGTATGCATGCATACTAATTAATTTAGTATGCCTATATACTCGCTGTTAGTTTGGATGGATCTACTAATTTTTAGTTGGTTGTTACAATAAAAAAGCTAACCACCGTGAGTCGGTGAGGCAAGGACAGAGAAAAGCTAATTTATTAATAATTAGTTAAATCACTTAACTATCAGCGGATCTGTTTCTATCCACTGACCCGCTAATACACAGGGAGTAACTACTCCCAGAAGTTTAAAAAACGCACCCTATATATATATATATATATATATATATATATATATATATATATATATAGAGAGAGAGAGAGAGAGAGAGAGAGAGTGATGCAACCTACTAGTGAGTACTGTCAGTATAGGCGACTGATCATATATACTCAAATTTAACAGAATTTTACATGGTCAGCGCTTACAAGAACTTCGATGTTTAGTAACAAAAAAGGAGAAGAGACCCTTTCAGCGATGCTAAACATGGACGCTTAATGGTTTCTCATATGGTGAATTAAAAACAGATGAGCGTTTGCACGGGGGTATAGAGTAAAGTACATGTGACGTGTTATATGTAGACACACATGCTAAGCATCTAGACGTACATGTTGGACGGCCTATAAGCATTTTGCTAGAATATGCGTGATCACTGGAGGAAGAGATGATCAAGTGGCTTGGAACGGAAACATAAGTAGATCATTGTAGCCGTAAATCTAGTGTTTGTTAAATATGACACGTATCTTGTTGTCTTCCAGAAGATGTAGCTGCTCTATGGTTCCTATGTGTTTCAGCAGCAGCAGCTAACTGTGCCCGTGGCAAATCTACTACAAAAAAAAAAATGCAAATTGGTGTTTGTCAGTCTGAAAATAGGCACAGTTTAGATGAGCATGAAGCAATACAGGCTGCGTTCGGCTGGTGGAAATTTCAGCCGGAATGCACTGTTCACGGCTGAAATTCACTGTTTACGCTCTCACAAATTCCTCTAAATTCATCCAGATTTCTCCAAATTTTTCTGAGCAATCAGGCCCACAGATGACTTTGGCCCTGGCAAACCTATTGCAAACAAAAACTTACGAATCGTAGTTATTGGGAGAAGAACACGTTGTAGCAATTCAATGTTGTAGAGGGGAAAATGCGATGCAATAAGCAAACTGGTAGTTAGTATCGCGAAGCTGAAAAAATTCATGATTTACCTGGAGATAAAATGAGTCGTTGCCTGACAATTCGCTGAAATGGAAGATGTTTCGAAATGGAGCTTCTTAACTGAGAAGTTGGTATAGATGAATTAGTATTTGTCGATTGCTCATTGGTGGGTTCCCTGTACCACGGACCATAAGCAACGCAGGTTTTTATTTTATATAATAAAAATGTATAGAGCAATGGTCTGCCAAAGACGGATGTATAATCACTAATGTCTGAACCCAACCAAATCGTGATGAACCATGACAATGATCCAATTCGTTTCAACTGAAACGGAAATGATTACCGTGCGTCAACTGTGAAGTGTTCCAGAGAGCAATAGCAATATAAAGATTTGGTACTAAACTGAAGTAAATAATTATGTGGAGCAGGATAAACTGATGGAATAGTTCATTGAGAAAGCTTCAGGAGAAATTGCAAGAAGGAAGACTAAAGAACTATGGACATAAATAATAATAGGTATAAGGTAAGCAGACTCACCGCATCAGTGTCGAGAGAAATTGCAGGCAGAAAGGCTAAACTAAAAGAGCTCTGGACATTTATGCATAAGCCATCTTTTAGGAAGGTAGAAGTATTTGGTCATGGCATATGAGTATATCTTCGCAACTTCCTGACGATAGGGAGTGATTACTCCTATGAAAGATTCATGAGCATGGCTGCATATGAGCACTAACTTCAATCCCGTTGAACCATGATGGACTGGTGCCCTCTACTCATACTCATTGCTCCTTGTTTGCATGGCTGAAATACTGAAGAGTGACAGAAAAAAAATCCTCCCGCATGGCTGAAATACTCAAAAGTGACAGAAGAAAATCGAGAAGATGAACTTATAAATATGCTCAGCCATACCTAAGATCAATTAGGAAATTAATAAGTAGACAAATTTACACATCTTGTGCCATTTGTTCTAATATGATTTCAAATTAAACATATGGACTGAGAGACAGTAAGATAATCAAAATTTGCCGAAAGAAATTAAACTCTTTAATATTAGATATAGATTAGAGGTGAACTTTTTTTATTAACAATTAATTGTAAATAAGTATCAGTAAAAGATGAAATCAATCGTTGGAGGATTCCAGTAATAATTAACATCATCTAATTGCTGGATTATAACAGCAAGAACAATCAAATTCATAGTTGGATGCTTAATTTTACGTACCTTGTGTATGGCTTCCGTGCTGCAGCAGGATCGATGTTGTCGTCCATCCTAGGCGCTATGGTGACGGGTGACTGGTGAGATGAAGCAGACGGCTAGGAAGGAGGCCGGACGGACTCAAGGCGGACGGCCAGACGGGAACCAAATCGCCGAGTGCGTTGGCCGCCTTCCGCTTGGACACGTGGGCTTCCGTCGTGACGCGGAGCCGGTCAGGGGGCAGAGCCGTGGAAGGGATGGGCCGCCGCGCCGGGTACTGACTGCGCTGCTGCGTCTGCGCGCAACGGGAGGCGCCGCCGCTGTGGGGGAGAGGGAGAGGCGCCGCTAGGGCTTGCCCGCGACGCCGTCGCGGGGTCGTCGGTGTCGGGTCGGTCGGCGGCTTCGGGCGGGGGCGGCACGGCGATGGCAGGTCGGTGGAGCCAGATCCGTCGCCGTTGATGCCGGTGGTGGCCGGATCCGTCTCCACCGCCCCTCTGGCTGGCCGCCGCCGGCGCTGTGGGTGAAGGGCACAGCGCCCTCCACGACAGTTGTGGGGGAGAGGTAGAGGGAGGGATGCTCGGCCTTGGGAGCCGCCGCCGCTGTGGGGAAGAGGGAGGAGTGCCGCTGTGGGGGAGAGGGGGATGGAGAGGGAGGGGCGGCGTTGCCGGTGGAGGGAGAGAGGCGAGGGGCGCCGTGCTCGGGCCTGCAAGAAGGTTCGGGAGAGAGCGAGGGTAGCGACGTGGACGGCAGCCGATGCCCAGGTCCCGATCCGACGGTGCTCGTTGGATAGCTGTTCTGGCAACAGTGGTTTGAATAGGGAACTGTTTTATACAGTATTTTGTGAGAGGGGGCTTGGTATACAGGTTTAGGAGTATTAGGATTAGGATTAGGATAGATATCTGCGTGCCGCCTTGCTGCCGTGGCAACAAAAAAGGGACATGCTCCCGAGAGGAATTGATACTGTCACGGCCTGCTGTACCAGTGCCGAAATACGCCATCGTACCAGCACAAAACACGCTAAACTTCCCACGTTTCGGGACGTTTCGTTTTCTTTTAAGAGGCTGGCATCTGTGCTGTGAGGGGAAAAAACGTTTCGCTCAAGCAAGATATATGAATGTAGCCGACCCAAAGTCGCGGCACTTGTTTATCCGTCGCGGTGGTAACGTAAAATTCGTGGACAATATTATTGCCACTATGTCAAATGAATAAATAACTAAGGCTCAATTTGGATGTCGATATTGAAGACCATGGCATTGAATTGGCTTCAATATCAAATCCAAGTAGTATTGGTATTGGGTTACAATATCAAAACCATTGTTTGGATGCAGATGAAATTGCTAGATGGAATCGTAAGGAGCTAGTGAATACCAATTCGTGTTTGGATGTTCATACCATGGCATTTGAGAATTGACCATCTTCTCCTCCTCTCCACACCGGACCACACTCGTCGGTCCCGAGCGGAGCTCCCCCACGCCGCTCGCGCCTCGCGCAAATGGGCACTGGAGCGGCGCTGCTCCCTCCACCCGCTCGCATGGCCGTCGTTCCGCGCAGCGGCGCTGCTTCATCCCCCCGCTCGCACGGTCGCTCCCTTTCTTCTCCACGCGCCCGTGAAAAGAGCTGCCGGAGACGGGAGGCGACCCCTCCCTCGAGCTCCCCCATGGCGGCCAGCGAGCTTCCCATTGCTTGCCGAGCCGCTGAGGTCGAGCCAAGCGGTGACGTGGCCGCCCGTCTTTGGGCAGCCATGCCATGGACGCCAGGCTAGAGGGCAACACACATCACGGCGCCCGGCGTGATCGCTGTTGAAGCGGCCACATTTGGGGCCGGGCGCCAACAAGCAGAGTCTGATGTGGCCCGGCGGAGGGGAGCTATCTTGAGCCAGCTGGCGATCGGAAGATGAACGAGACCTGCTGCATCTGATTCCAATACAGAGGGGAAGGGGTCTGAATTGAGGGAGGGGGTGCGGCTGAAGGTCCAATACCTCTTGGTATTGGAGCACATTTCCAATTCCAATATCAAGAACATCCAAACAACAGGTATCGAAGACACCCCATGCCAATTCCGAATTTAGGCTTCAATATCTACATCCAAACGGGGTGTAAAATAAAAGTTGTAGATCTTGATCAGTTCTACGACTTTATGTTCATGATTTTTTCAGCTGAAATCATTTAATATTTCAAAATAACGTTTGAACTTGCCATTTTTTAAAATTCAAAATTTAAATTGATAAACACAGTCACATGAAAATTTGACAAAAATAATAGCGGTAAGAACACAATACATTGATAGAGCATGATTTTAGAAAATTTTAGAAAAAAAACATCAAATTTGAAGTGAGTATTAGGGAGAAAGACTAGTTACAGGTTTTAGCCAGAGATTAAAAGAAATCAGAGTTCTTCATCAATTTAAAAATTAAATTTCTAATAGCATTTTGAAACAGTAAATGGTTTCAAATGGAAAAGTTGTAAACAGGAAAGTTCTATAACTTTTCGAGATCTATAATTTTTATTTTGGTTATTTCTCCTTCCAAAGTCGTTTGAAAAAATTCGAATTTTAGCACTAATTTTTTACTATTCAGCATCTATTCGTAGGGGCGGTTGGATATTGAGCTGCCCCTACAAATAGGACCATTTGTAGGGTGGCTGATAACACCAACCGTCCATACAAATGAGACTCTATCAGCCGCCCCTACAAATGAGATTCGAATGAAATTCGTTTGAGAACTATTTATAGGGACGACTCAATATAGAGCCGACTTAAAAAAAAGAGAGAGAGAGAGAGAGAGATTCTGCTACAAATCGTGTCTGCGGTAGTGTGATCGGCTGATCGCTGTCCTCAACCACCGTTTTTTTCGTGCAATCGTGTGTAAACACGAATGCCTAAAAGCTGCAGGGATTCACAGGCTGGAGCACTGCACGCTGGATGCAGGGGTGCTGCCTGTCGCCCAATCTGACGGCAATATGCGTGCAAGGATGATACACGAGGCAGACTCGGACCCAGAGCAGATGAGAGGGTTCCAACAGCCGCATCGCAATCAGCGGTCCAGCCTCGCAGGGGAGGAAGGAAGAAAAGGAAAGTAAAACAAGCTTGCGGCACCAAGTTGATCATCATCGCTCACATGTGCATGTGCTTTGCCTGTGCGGTTGTGGCAGGACAATGAAATAACTTGACCACCGCGGAGCAGAGCTTGCGTATTCGATTAGCTCAGCTCGATCGGCAAGTCGGAGTCGGCCATCTCGTTCTTCGAATTCAAAGAGATGGTCAACGCGAGGGCACAAGGTCAGCGTCGGCTTTACCAGGCGCCGCTGGCTTAAGACATGGATGTGCTTACGTACTCGTACGTCTCAAGAAGTACTCCGTAGTCGCGCGTGGGCTCGCGCGGCGCGCAGAGAGCCAGAGAGCCTTACGCGGCAAGGAAAATGTGCCCAGGCGTGGGTGGCGCCTCCCGGAGTGAAAGGAGCGCGCCGCTTCGGCGTTTCGTGCGACGCAGCCAAAACCTGCCATGCAAGCAACACACGGCCCCGGCCGGCCGCTCAACTGAGTAGGCGAAGCAAGGGCAAATTCGGTACTGCCAAATCAGGACAGGAGGCCCGGGATGTGGGTGATGGCTATTGCCGATCACGATTCTGGACTAAGAACCGCCAAAAGCTAATTCTCCGCCGGAACATTTTTTTCTTAAAGAATGGAATACGCTGGAACACGAGACTTGACGACTTGTTACGTATGCCGACTTGCCGAGTGGGCAAAATCGTAAGTATTTGCACTGTTACATTGGATATCATCGTGTGCCGGTACCAATCCGTGTTCACACTTGCACACAAACTACTCTACAAAGCCTTCCGATTCAAGTAAGCACTGGCTGAAACAAAAGAAGAGAGATGCTAAACTGGACATTTCTAGACTTCTCCACCAAGTCATCTCACCAAAACAGCCAGGGGCGGGCTGCGGGGCAAAATAATTTTCTACAGTTAAGGCGCCGCCTGGGCGGATACGGAAGACAGATCGAAATAAAGAGCACGCTTCCGAACCGACGTCCTCGCCGACGTCGCCTCGAACGTGCCTCGCACGAGACCGACCCGACCGCCACCGCGCGCTCCTCCCAAAATCCTGAACCTATATATAGTTCCCGCCCCACCACCGGCCGGCCGCCTGACCCGAGTCCCCGAGCCCTGTCCGATATACGGCAGGCGCGGAGCAGATATAGCCTTGCTTGCTTGAGCCGCAGCAGATCGCCCGGGCTCGGCGGCAAGCGCGATGGACTTCTCATCATCCGGCGACGTGAAGGCGGCGATCATGCGCCCCGCGGCTGCTGATGCCGCCGCCGCCGCCGGCACGTCGACGCTGCTGCGGGGGTGGCGGGAGTTCCGGCGGAGCGGCGCGCCGGCGAGGTTCCTCTGCTTTGAGGACGGCAAGTGGGTCGACGTCACCGGGGAGGCGGTCCCGCGGCTGCGGCGGGCGTTCCAGGAGAGGAGGGCGATGGCCGACGCCTCGTGCGGGGGAAAGGCGTACCTGTTCGACTTCCTGCGGATGGTCAGGATCGACGAGGCCACCGGCGAGGAGACCGGGCTGGCGTGGATCGACCACCGCGGGGGCTGCTTCTTCCCGGCGCCCGCCGACTGCAGCGGAGGGAGGAACAAGCGCAAGAGGGACGACGGCGCGCCGGCGGCGGAGGACGAGGCCGAGTCGTCCTCGGGCGTGGACGAGCGCTCAGGGGAGAGCCCCGGGGTGGGGGTGGACGCCAAGAGGAGGAAGGCGTGGGGGAACGCGGCGGCGAGGCTCGAGGAGAACGACAAGTACTACCAGGTCGTCAGCAAGCTGTTCCTCAGCTACGGGATGGCGCAGCGCGGCGCGGCGATCACGGCGGTGCGCAAGATCGCGCACGGCGCCAGGACCACCGCGTTCCAGGAGCAGGTGCGGCTGCTCGCCGATGCGCGCGGAGCCGCCGCCGGAACCGCCAAGTTCGCCTGGTACGGCGCGTCCGCGGACGACGTGGCCGCCGTGGTGGTGCGAGGTTTCGCGAGGAACAACGCGACAAGGCTCGGCGCACGCAAGCACGGCGACGGCGTGCACCTTTCCCCGCCGCAGTGCCCCTACACGAGGTGAGTTCCGTGCTGTTTTGACATCCCAATTCTTGAGATAAATTTCTACTACGCGATTTTGATCGATTCCAGGCATCTAGTTGTAGCATAATAATCTGCCTGGTTGCAAAGATTCTCATTTCTTTTACTTGCATATGAAGTTGCATCGATTCTTCCGGATGAATTTGTAAGAATTTTGAACATAGTTCCTCTTCTATGTATCTATCCTGCTGATTGGTAAATAGATCATAGAATTGCTTATTCATGCAGTTAAAAGCTTACCATATCAAACTAGAGCAAAGTTCATGTTCCTGTTGCCATATATTCCGGTTGCTTAGTAGCAGTCAGCATATCTTGCCAAAGCCTTAACTAATTTCTTGTTTGTTCGCCCTTTCCAAGAATATAATTTACAGAGTGTTTACATTTCTTGTCCTTTTGATTGCTTAATCACAAAGACACTGACCTGTCGCTTCGTATTAAAATGAATTTGTTGCTAATTCGAGCATTTCTGCATTTGTATATCAAAATAAACAAAATATTTTTTATGGAAGTATAGCTGTGAAGTATTCGGAGTAACTTCCAGTGAGAACTGGGAAACAACAGCTGGCGTAGGTTGCTAGCAGCAGCTTACCAGTTACCACGGAGTGATCTCTGATCGTTCCAGTTAACTTCATCTCAACAAATATGTGGCCCGGTTAAACAGCTCATCATATATGTATAAGCCTAACGATCCTTTTGAAATCGTTTTTGTTTCAGTGCCATGCTGGCCAAGGCAGACGGGAGCGGCAAGGCGCACATCGTGCTATGCCGCGTGCTGATGGGCCGGCCGGAGGCTGTCCCGGCAGGATCTTCGCAGTCCTGCCCCAGCAGCCACAACTACGACAGCGCCGTGGACAAGCCGGAGAATCCACAGTGGTACGTTGTGTGGAACAAGGATATGAACACCAGGATCCTCCCCGAGTACGTGGTCAGCTTCAAGTGCTCCAAGCTGCAGCAGATGCCAGGTTAGCTTGTTCTCTGAATTTGACGAAGATGTTACTGTCGTTGCCATTGGATGGTGTTTCATGATTCGATGAACTTTCGGTTTCAGAATCGTCAGAAGCGACCTCAAAGCTGAAGAAGCGGTCACCAGTGGTTCGCGACATGTTCCCTTCGCTTCTTGCAGAGATCGAGCAGATCGTGCCAGACAAGTGCAATCTTCTGCAGGAGTCATACAACAGCTTCAAGGTAAATTGATGATAGTAATTTCCACACAACTTGTTAGTATACGTGCAAGTTGGAAGGACTGTAGTATTTTGGTTGACAAATTTGCTTACTTCCCTTGCATTACATTCGATCTTACCGATTTGTCTGCTGACAACTTCCATTGCATGCGCAAGTTTAGCTGTTCTGTGACTGCATATGCTGTTATTAGGAAAATATGCAGAATTTGCGTTGCTACTTGACGAGCAATTGTTGATCATAATCATACTCTACTTGTACTGAGCAACAGCACAGCAGCAGCCTGAAACTTCCACTAACACAATCTTTCTCCCCTGCAGATGGGACAGCTTAAGAAAGACCAGTTCATCCGGTTCATCCGCAGTTACGTCGGCGACAAAGTGCTGACCACCGTGGCCAAGAAACTCCGAGGATGCTAAATTTCTAGTGCGCGGCGCAACACTATTATCTCCTTGATTTTGCCGTCTTGGTGGTGGTATACGCGGTGGCTCTTACTCCAGCGACTCTAGCAGTGTACGTGCTAGCTGTCTGTAGTAGTACCAAATAGAGATGAGGGGGTTTACTTTTGTTTCTGTTGATTCAAGTTTCTGTCAAGGGCGTATAGAGGGTTTGCAGCGATGTTCTTCCATTAACCAACACAAAGGATAGATGCAGTTTCTGTTCCTGAGACGTTCTAAATCTTCTTTTAGTATCCTGCAACCTGTGATAATCTGTACAGACTGAAAAGATTTATGCATTGTTTTCCATTTATGTAATATCGAAATTAGAGGTCTCTAGATCGATCTCATTCGACACTCGATAGAAGCGCGTTGTTTATATATTTAAACTCTTCTAAATCTTCTGTGTATACGAGAAAAAAAAGTTTTATGCACAAATGGAACTATTGTTGAGCCGGTCAAACGCTCCGAAGTTTCGCCGTTCAGAGTTCTGGAGCTTGTCAGGGAGAAGAACATTCTCTCCGTTTCCTAGTTTTTCTAAGGGCACGTTTAGTTCGCGAAGAATTTTGGGTTTGGTTACTGTAGCATTTTCTTTTGTATTTGGCAATTAGTGTCTAATTATAGACTAATTAGGTTCGAAAGTTTCGTCTCGCGATTTCTCACCCAACTATGCAATTAGTTTTTTTCGTCTATATTTAATGCTCCATACATACGTCCAAAAATTCGTTGTGATGGGCAAAAACCAAATTTTTTTGGAACTAAACGCGCAGTCCATTCTACTCCTCTTCGACTTCTGTAACGTTGATAGAGTTCATAAAAAAGCACAAATCTATAACGAAACTAAACCATGAAATATATTGGCAGAATAGCCGTTTTGGTCCCTGAACTATTACTCGAGGCTCACTTTCATCCCTGAAGTTTCAAAATGGCTATTTTAGTCCTCAAACTCTACTTTTGTTCTCACTTTCATCCTAGAACTATGAAGATGATCGTTTCAGTCCTCAAACTTTGCATTTTGGACTCAATTTCATCCATAAACTATCAAAGTGCATTTCGGTCTTTAAACTTTATCTTCAACTCAACTTTGTCTATAAATAAAACTTTATATTTTAGGCACAATTTCATCCATGAATTACAAAATGCATTTTGGCTCAACTATAATAATATAGGATTATAGGTCCAGCACCACCCACGTTTTGAGATGGACGGTTATTGTTAGGTATTATTGTCCCTAGTGTCGTCCCATCTAGCGAATAGGATAGCAGATTTTCAACATTTATATTCATATTCTAAGATGCATATATATATAAATATTCTTAAATATGAACTATTTTTAGCTTATGGATAAAAAATATTATTTTATACACTAATTATTTTTAGTTGAGCCTAACTCTAGAAGTAGCTAAGGAAAAAATTATAGATTTGCTATTATTTCAGTATATATCCATGTATTCTTAGGGAATAAATAGCGTTCCAAGCAACTATAATTGCTCCCACAAAAATCATTTAATCGGATATATATATATAAACGGTACCATTATAAGGTAACATAACAGCTTGGGATTATTAATGGCCACTAAAGAGTTTTTTTATGAATATTATATGTTCTATCTCCAATCGCTGGTGGTGTTGGAGATGAACAGGTGCAGCAATGCAACGTTCCACGTAGGACGATAGACAAAGTTCAGTTGAAAAATAAAAGTTTAAAGTCTGAAATACATTTTGATAATTTACGGATCAAGTTGAGCCCAAAATGCAAAGTTTGAGGACTGAAACGATCATCTTCATAGTTCTGGGATGAAATTGAGCCTAAAAGTAGAGTTCGAGGACTAATACGGCCTTTTTGACAGTTTGGGGATGAAAGTGAGCCTTGAGTAATAGTTCAGGGACCAATATGGCTATTCTGCCAAATATATTCTGATGACATATCTATTTGATACTATACATTTTTAAAAAATCTACAAAAATAGTTAAAGTAAGATAAACTTCATGTTAGAAACTGGATACTGGATAGAATATTTGTCATGAAGCTGGGAGGTGATCAACGATTACCCGGGAAGGCCAGCCACACGCGTGCTCTACCACTTTACCAGCCCTGTTCTGTTTCACTGCTTGTAGTGCTCCGATCGGGCTCGTAGATCGCGAGGTGCAGGACCGAACAGATGGCGCGGGTCGGTACAAGCTCGTGAAGCGTGCGCGCTTCCACCGCCACACGTGTCCCCGCTTCGTGGCCTAGCAAACGGACGACGCGGATCTCTATGTACGGCTGAGGCACGAGGGCAAAATACGACAAGGAATCTCTGAGGCCGTACTGTTGAGGTGAAAACAGTGCGACGAAACGTGGAATAGCTACGGACTCGCGACTACTCTACGGTCCATGGACTGCACATGCACTAGAGTTGGACGGTTTTGCTAGCACCGGATGCTTTCCATCTAGAATTAACAATTTCATATCAGTTTAGTCCTGATTTCAATCGAAGAAAGTAATGTGTTACTAGTGTTTCTTTCTTCGAAAATACTGTAGTGCGTTAGTGGTTAACCAGACAATGTAATGACAAAGTTTCATTTGGCAAACAGAAAACTAAACTTAGCTTAAATGATTAGATGGAAGGTTTTGATCAGCGCTGTGGACCATTCAGGTTTGAGTGCGTCATGCTCGACTCCAACTATATTTCTTGTTAATATAAAAAAAACTGCCTAATTATTTCTAGGTTGTTAGCCACATTTTAGAAATTTGAGTTGGCAAAGCTATATATACCCAAATCACCTTGTTCATATTAATTGTACACTCTTCTCTCTGATTGTTCTTTCATGCTTGTGTAAAACTGCTACACCCTACCACAAGCGAGGTAGATAAAATATGCTTATCTATGTAGATCTGTAAGACTTAGGTTTTGTTTGTATACCAAACGTTATTGTACACCTGATTTGTTGTGGACCAGTGATTGCTATACTATTTTGTGTAAGAGTGGAGACATGATAGCTGTTGTTATTCATAACAAATGTTAATAAGTCATATTATTGTATATAGCGTGATGGTGGCAACCGGTTTACAGTATTAGCATCACGGAAACATGAGCTCCCTATACATAACCTATATCTACAAGACTAGGGTTGAGTGCCCCTCTTTTCCGACCAAGTGTGCCAACCAGGCACCTTGGCCGTGAGCGGACCTTTTTGTCAAGAATTGACCCTAGAGGGACTCAGGCACATTGCCTACAAGGGTTTGCTCACCCTAGTGCATCAGGCCGAGCAGTTGTCAGTGTCAAAGGAATGAACAGGGACCCTTATGCTCCACTTAATCTTCCGAAGCGCTAGGTGTATGCCTAGCTTATGGCCCTGTTCTTCAACATTACTTCAACAGTACTTTTCAACAAACAAACAATGTTTTCCTCTCACAACAAATCAGCATAAGCATCAGCATAAAGCCAAATCCAGCAGAACGAATAGGGCCTACATCTGCATGATCAATTAGGATTGTTGACCAATATTAGATCGAGTAGCGGACGAAGGCTGGGTGCCCCTTTTCCTAACAAGACTGGCACCATGGGGAATCGGACAGACATGCTCGATGGCCACCTCCTCCAAGTGCCCATAACGACTGACCACGACATGGACGCTAGAGGACACCGTCCACATTAGCCTACAAGGGCAGCTCACCCCATTGCACTGCGTGGAGCTATCAAAAGTAGTTGTGCTCGCCGCACACCGTGTGGATAGTGGCCCTTGCCACTATGCGTTCGTTCGCCTCAAGTAGCGGACGCGCGACCAACATTATTTAATGAGAGGGGACTGAGGAGGCAAGTGTGCTCTATATGATCGCATGCCCCCACTTTATCGCTGCCCATTGTCTTGCCCCTGCACAATGTCGCATCCTTACAATCGTGTTAAGGATGTGATGCAGCAGGCTACTGTTGTTCTATAGATATGACTGATTTGGCAGCACTGCATGATCACTATTTGAAATACGTGGTGTGTGTTCGTACTTAGATACGAGGAATGTTTTGGATGTAGGAGGCCAGAACCAATGCCTTGTAGGGTGATCCAAACACGCTTTTTGAGCTAAGAACAAGGACATCCAAACCTCGTCTCACTCAAGATATAGGGTCTTACCCTAAACAGCCTGAACCTAGTAAATCTCTCGCGTGCTCAGAAGATTAATTGAGAACTCGCCTTTTCAATTCCTCTGCCGAACATTAAGTTGACATTAACTAGTATGCCAGCGTTTGCCCGCCGACATAGAGATTTTATCATTTTTAGGGTGAGACTATCTCATCAATATCTATTTGTTTCATGTGAATACTCTTCCTAAATTTCACCTCTTTCTATCTTCTATTGATAGTACATCACTTTGTTTTCATCTTTGCTGCCCCACTGTTCTTCTTACTTTTCAAAAAAAAAACAGAGGTCCCGTATAAAACGAGAGGACTTATTTTAATGTTTGTTTTTTTAAACTGAATTGATTCTATAAAATTATTTTATGATTCATGTAAAATTACTAAGTTTCAAACTGGTCCTAACTTGTTAGGGTATGTTTGAAACACAACTGGATTATTATAATATAGATTATAGATAGAATTGTTATAATCTAGATTATAGTTACAATTATTATAATCTAGATTATAAACTATAATCATTGAGGTGTTTGGATTCCTAGATTATTATGGTGGATTATTTTTAATTCAAGCAAAAATACTCATAATCACAAAAAAGACCCAAGGTGAATTATAGAATTATTGTAATCTATTGTTCCGATTATAATAATCGACCTCATATTCTTAGTCTATTTGGATTATAATTAGATTAATTTAGCCGATCATTATAGTTATAGTGGAGCCAAACATATTCTTAATCAACATCGTATGTATTTGGATTATTATCCGTTCTTCATTAGACGATGACATCAATAACTTCCTTAACTCTTCATGGCTAGATCACGGTGAGACATAAAATATTATGTATGTTGTATGATCAATTCTATCTACTGATTTTTCGTCTAATTTGGATAGAATATATTTTTCTACCTAAAAGGGAATTGTAGGTTTTATTAGAGCTACACAACGACGCAGAAGAGAGTTTTACGGGGGAGTGACCATACAACAGGCCCGTGTATATGTAGAGACGCGGCAGGTGAATTGTAGGCACAGAGAATGACCCATCTCTCCGTCGTCTACAAATACCCGCCCGCTCTCTTCTTGCTCCCCCTTCCACTCGCCTCGCCACGCGGCCCCGTTAGACTCGCTAAATTTTGGCTGAAAGTGATAAAAAAATCTTATTATGATTAAATTATTGTGAGAGAAAAACACTATTTTAACTTTAAAAAAAAACAGAGGCAAGCCGAACGGGGACCTCCCGGAGGCAAAAATTTGCTCCCCAAAATCCTCGGTCGTATTCGTCCCACCCTTGCCCCCCACCTCAGTTAGTTCTCCGCGGCCGCCTATCGCGCGCCCCGCGCAAAGCATCAACTCCGCTCCACCCACCCTCTGTGCAGACTTAACCTTGAGGTTCCCGATTGTCCTTCCGCTCCTGGCCATTTGCGACGAGATTTAGCGGCAAGGATGCGTCTGCATGCTGAGGTGCTGGATGAGCTGGAGGAGAGCGAGGAGGGGGCTCTGATGTCTTCGGCGGCGTTGTCGCCAATCATCGGCGCCGTGGCGCCGGCTCCCAGGCTAGTGGTGGGCTACGCCCTCACGAAGAAGAAGGTGAAGAGCTTCCTCCAGCCCAAGCTGCTCCTGCTGGCGAGGTAAAAGCCCGAATCATCGCTGCTCAGAAAGAGGGAATGATTTGATGTTTTGCTAGATGCCGAGCGGTGATGGATTTTGAGGGGGATGGGAGATTTTTCGGTAGTATTTGTTGACCGGGTGGCGAGCAATTCCACGATTGCTCTTTTTTTTTTTTTTTTATCAATAGCCCAAAGAGTTTGGAGGCCTTAGAAGAAAATGGTGTATAATTCGAGGGACGAGGAACGTTCATGGTTGGAGACGCGATTTCTTTTGTGTTTTGATTAGATGCTGCCCACTTCCTGGTGGTCAGAAGAATTTTGCATGACCATGCTAATGTGATACAATGGATAGTATTCTTGTGTTGAAAGGATTATAATTTCCACGGTATGGGGTGGAGGGGAATGCTATTCTATTCCTTGCTGCACTAGTCAAATAGTGATCGAATCGGGCCTCCACTGGAGCGCAAAGTTGGCGGGAGCGGCTAGCGAGAATGGCTTCTGAGTGAAGCATGCTGGATTAATGATTTAGTACTCGGAGGTGCGTGGCAAGTGTTTATTTGGAATTCCAGTGGCATCGGTAGATATGCCCTATATGTGTATCCTATGTTGACAGTTCCACTGCATGAGGGGGTCTCAATAGTCAATAGCTTTATACTATGGTGCCAAGCTGGCGGAATGGGCCTAGGCTGCAAATCCTTGTTGATGGTATCTGGGATTCTAGTTTGGAATATTCCTTTGGATAAGCACATCACATGGAAAATGACAACTTATTGATGGCAGTGTCTCTGATGTGTTCATTTGTACTTTACTTACTCAGTCGCTAGATTTGATGGCAACATGGGTTGCCAGCAAACAATCTCTTCTTGTTTGCTGTCTGGATTAAGAGCCAAGCTGATTCTGTCGTTTGCTTGTTACCTCATTTGGATAAGCAATGCATGTGAACTAATAAGGAACAACAAAATTAACAAGGAGAATGTTTTATGCAAAATAAAGTGTTTTTGCTCGAACTATTTGTATTTTTTTATTGTTTGTGTTTCTGCTTTTCAAGACTGTAAGTAACTTAAAAGTAAATGCCTCCAATTCTCATATGATGCGATTTACCCTTGTAAATGCATCACAGGGTATGGACATAAGAAAGGTTGTGGGAAAAGTAAAATTAAATTTTTTTGACAAGGCAAATATTTTTCTGCAAATTGAGCAGTTTTCCTTGACAACTTTTGTACCCTGAAACCGGTTGAGTTTCTCCCCTTGTAGTCCTCTCTGCATCTCAAACAATAAATGCCCTGATACCATGCAGTTCACTTATAGTTATAGTATAACATTTATTTCCTTACCCCTGGAGATATACCCAAGTACCATCCCATTTATGTGTCTAATGTGAGTATTATCTCGTTGCTCAAGCATATTGCTAATTATAAACTGAGGGCATGTTACATGAATATTTTGTGTGCTTTGATAGCATATGGATACTGTTATCACTAGTTCTGCATGTCGAATTGAATATTGTGGCTCTTGCCAAGCTTTTGTTTTTTCCTTTGTGCTTCTTGATGAGTTTCTTGTCATGTGCTTTGTCAGGAAGAATGGAATCAGTTTTGTATCTATTGATGAGTCTCTTCCCCTCTCGGAACAAGGCCCTTTTGATGTTATTTTACACAAGGTCAGTCACATCCTATTTTAACCTGCAATAATAAGAATGCAGAAGCATAGGACCTAGATCAAGTTTTGTGGGAGAATCACTCACTTGTGAACTTTCTGATCCTGGAGTGAGGTGAATTCTGCTTAATGTTTCCAAGAAAAGGTCATCATAGTTTTATGCAGCCTCTGTTATCCATTGCACTGAAAGAGTTCTTCCTTCCTTATGCAGATTACTAGGAAGGAGTGGCAGCAGGTTCTGGAGGTAAGATCGTGCCATATACTCACTTCTCATGTTTTGTCTATTTTTCCTTCAAACTGTTCACTGCTACACTTTTGGAAAGTTGCTGCCAGTATTCTTTTTTGCAATGGTGACAAATAGTATGCTCAAATCAATCGATTACAATCTTATCGTAGTCATAATGCTTTTTTGTAGCTTCCAAGTCAACGTTACCACTTTCCATTGCATTGCTTGCTTAGTTTCTTCCATTTTCTGAAGGACTATCATGAAGAACATCCAGAAGTTACTGTCCTTGACCCACCAAATGCTATCAAGCATCTGAACAATCGACAATCAATGCTTGAAGAAGTAGCTGATTTGAACCTGTCTAATTTCTATGGTAATGATGCTGTTCGTTTTTTTTTTAATGTTTACATCGTTTAAGTTACCTTCCATTTGATCTTAAAATGCTGACACATTGAAATATCATGTTCCCACCAAATTATGGTACAACTACAGTCGTAGGAAGGAAAATAGTTTGCGACTTTTGCCCGCACTAACAAGCACACAAATGTTTGCCATATAGAATTTTCTGTTTTACTCCATTCACTGTGAACCACAGAATTTTCCAATTAAGGGTTGCTATGTCAGTTCTTTCTTTGACAATATGAATTGTGATGATACCATATAAACTAACAGAGATCGAAAAACAGAAGGTCTTGCTTGAATTTGTTGGAGACTTGTTTTACTGTTGGCAGATCTCAAGGACAGTTTCTGTTCAAATTGACAGATAAATTTTCTTGATTGATAGCAAAAGTAGTATATTGCTATTAGTAAAAGGAAGACTGCTCAAAGTGCACCTTTAACTTAAATTTGTGAAGGATGTACTATGTTTGCATTAAACATGTGATTGTATGTGCATTGAAATATTGCAGGAGAAGTTTGTACCCCACGCCAACTGGTCATTACTGAAGATCCATCCTCTATACCAACTGCTGTAGCTATGGCTGGACTAACTTTGCCCTTGGGTAATTGATTCCAATCTTCAAGCTATCAATTATTTGGATAAAGAACATTGGAAAGTGCTTGTGAGCAATTCGTTTGAAATCATCAGGTCCACTCAATCTAGTCTATCTTCTTGGGACTTATTTGTTTATGTTTACTTGATTAGATTATTTGAATTATATATATCTTTTCTATCCTTCTGTTGGTAAATTGGTTCTCTCCTTGCTAAGGCCACAGAATTATTTCCCACCAAGCTCCATCGTTGTTGTTTGTGTGCTTGCTTAACTAGCTTTTGAGCTAAGTCACAAAAAAAAAAAACTAGCTTTTGAGCTTTGCTCAAATTTTACAGTCATATTGAAATGCACCTTTGTTTTCATCGCTGCATGAGGCAGACTTCCAGAAATTGGAAACAGTTGAGCGGATTGATTCCTGTTTCTCGCGGTAATTTTTCATTTAAAATTTTGGCTTTGCGACTACTTATCCAGCAATCCACGTGTCTGAACCATGGACTAGGCTTTAGTTCCTCAAGTTATATTACTATCATTAGTGGTTCTTAAAATTTTATGCAAGTTTTTCCCCTTCTGCTGTGGCTCATATTGGGTTTCATCTCTAGCCTACTCCAGCTTGCTTGGGACTGAAATGCTTTGTTGTTATTGTGGCTTTGAAACCATCTTTTGAAATTTGGTACTTCAGTTTTGGACACTACAGCCTAGGTGCAATTAGAAGCAATATGTCACAGAAGTCCCTCAAAGTAAATGTGCTTTATCAACCCTTCTACTCTTCCTTTCATGAGCTTTAAAAGCTGTTGGGTTCACCCATTACCATTCTAAGTAATCACATTTGTTCTAGTTAATGAATATTTGGTGCCTATTTGTCATCGGTAGGTTTCAACTTATTCTGCTGCTGGAGCTTTGCATTTAAGCTGTTCCTATACTCAAATAATTCACACATGTCACTTTTTTCTTTTGCTATCTGGGGAGCTAGTAAATGGAGATTGCTTGACTGGAAGTACTTATCCTCTTGCAGTTGCCAAGCCATTGGTTGTTGATGGAACATCTAAAGGTCACGAACTATATCTTGCATATGATGAGGCATCCTTGTCAATGCTTGATCCGCCTCTGGTTCTACAGGAATTCATAAACCATGGTATGTTCTGATTTTCTGTTTTCATCTATATTGTTTGTTTTGTTCTATCTCCTGACACTTTGTCCTGAAACAGTAGAAATGTGGGATCTGATTTATTACCTCTACAGGCGGGATCCTCTTTAAGGTGTATATCATTGGCGAAACAATACAGGTCGTCCGCAGGTTCTCTCTTCCTGATGTTAACACATATGACTTACTAAACAACGTTGGCGTCTATCGGTTGCCAAGAGTTTCATGTGCTGCAGCTAGTGCGGATGATGCAGATCTTGACCCTCTTATTGCAGGTGAGAACTGTTGCTGTCAATCTCACCATTTGTTAAAAATTTGTGTACCTTTTCCAGTAATCCAAGTGATCCCTTAATTAAACATGCAATTTGTCCTGAGAATTGTCAATGCAAATGAGTTGAAGTGTCATATCTCCATTAGTCATGATTATGAAGTTTAGGGCAAAATTTGTTCAATGAGAAAAATAGATGACTTATAAATCATGATGTGATTTGCTCGTTACACTTTGCCAAGTGCACCAAGTGATCTTTTGTTACATCACTTAACATAGATTTCTCATACATGATAGAGCTTCCTCCAAGGCCACTTCTAGAGAAACTGGGCAGGGAGCTTCGTGGCTCGGCTGGTATGTGTAAATCTAGTTCTGAACTGCACATATCTGTTTCATGTTAGCTTGGCTGACATGAAAAAAGTTCAAACCTGCAGGGTTTGAGATTGTTCAATATAGATATGATTAGAGAACTTGGAACCAAAGATCGGTACTACATAATTGATATCAACTACTTCCCAGGTGTGTGGTTATTTTGTTATCTTGTCATTCATACCTCGGGTTTGTCCTCTTCGTTTCTGTTCTCTATCTTTGTCCTTGCAGAACTTGTTGTGCCAAACTTTTGTCCTAGCTACAAATCTCTGGCCTTCTAGGCCATCTCTGACTGTTCAAGAATCCAGTTGGATCTCTTCATGACCAAATATCGATTGTGTTGGGGCAAAAATAGCCTAGCTACTTATGCTTTTCCCCCTCCTAAACTTTAGCCCCTGTCACATCGGATGTTTGGACACATGCATGTAGTATTAAATATAGACTAATTACAAAACTAAATGCACAGATTGAGACTAATTTGCGAGACGAATTTTTTAAGCCTAATTAGTCCATGATTTGACAATGTGGTGCTACAGTAAACATGTGCTAATGACAGACTAATTAGGCTTAATAAATTCGTCTCGTGGATTACTGAGGACTTCTGTAATTTGTTTTATTATTACAAACGGAACACTCGATGTGACACCCCTAAACTTTAGTTCCTGGATTCAAACACCCCTTAGTTCATCCCGAGAGCCAGTTGTTCTTTGCCATAAAGGGAAGTTTTTAACGTTGGGAATTAATTCTTCTACATAGTTAAGCACATGATTGTGACCACTTATGCGATGTCTTGGATACCATTTGCGCTTCCTTTTGCCATTACTGAAAATATTATGGACACAATTTGCACTTTAAGCTATAATGCAGAACGGTGCTTCATTGTCTAAGAAGAATATTGTATCGGTCTCCTAATAGTATCTTCTTTGACCAATTTAAATGCGCAGTTTACGATGATTTCCTTACAATAGCATCCCCTAACAGTATCTTCTTGACGCAATCTAACTGTGCAGGTTACGGTAAAATGCCTGGATATGAGCACATGTTCACAGACTTCTTACTAAGTCTCGCACAAAGCAAGTACAAAAGGTACTTAAGCGGGACCTGAGGTGCAAGGAAGTTTGCGAAGACTGTATTACTGACAAAATGGCATATAACGGTGGCAGCTATGCTTGGCTGCCCTGTGCCCATGTTGTAAAATGTTTAAGGGCATGTTTGGAATGCAGGATTTTTCCCCTATTCCTATGTTTTTCCTGTGAAATTGAATTGATTCCTGTGAAATTTTTGTGTGATTCCTGTAAAATTCCTGCGTTCCAAATAAGCCCTAACTGAATGAACGACTTCTTCGTGATGGCGCCCTTCCATCATAATTTGGCAACCGTTTTCTTGAGCCAGAGCAATAATTCTGCAGCTTGGTGGTCATTGGGGGTTTTGTTGGGTTAGTTTGGCAGAGTTTGAGGTCTATGGAAGTTAGGAGGCCACCAAATAGCTGTTGATGATCGGATCATTCTCAAGTGACACTGCCATCAGGAGTTTGAGCTGGAGCTCTGTAAATTGAAAAATGGCAGTCTTCCGCTACGCCTGGTTTCAACTTGCCACTGCCAGTGCGTGTCCAGGAATTTGTTGGAGCACTGTTTGATGGCGCCCTACGGGTCCCCTGTTCTGTTGCAATTATTTTCGGTCTGCGACAGAAATGTGATCGTCTTTTACTCCTGGTGCCTCAATGCAGAAACGAGCAGACTTTGAGAGTTCCCTTTAACGCGCCTATCGAGACTTTGAAGAGCTCCCTTTCTTTTGTTTTTTTTTTCGAGAGCAGGCGAGGCCACCACATCGTTGCCATCTTTTTGGTTTTAGCCTATAGATAGAGAAAATGTCGTTTGAAAAAAAATGAGACAATGAACAAACTGTTGGGCATTTTTTTTATTTTAATCTTTTTTTAATCAATATTATAATAATAACCGCAACAAAAAAAAAGCAAATCTGACATGTGACCTCTTTGGTCACGCCAGCACGGTTGGCGTTGTAGCACCACAACTTCGCGTCACATGTACTGGTGCGACAAGTGCCACGTTGGTGGCGACCGCTGACCCGAGTTGGCGTGGTGCTCGATGGGGCCCACCCTATCGCGCCACCGACTTGGGCGCGACAAGCCTTGTCGCACCAGGTGGGCTGGTGCTACAGGGGGTATAGGGTTGGCAGGCCCGGTCCACTTTCTTCTCTCTTTCATCTTTCCTTCCCCACTCGACGCACGCCTAGGAGAGCCGAGCGCCGCCAGTTTCCCTGCCGCCGACGAGTTGAGCGGCTTGCTTCGGCGACCCTCCCAACCGCCACGTAGGGCGGCTGGGAGAGGAAAGCGCTGCCGCCGCCTCCTCACACCCCCGCCGCCGGCGAGTGAAGCGGCGTGCTCCGGCGACCCTCCTACATTGCTAGGTATAACTTTTCCCCCTCGATTTGTTGATGTGGTGGCTCATTAGTTGCATGACTAGGGTTACAAATTTTTGTATGTTATGAATGTTTTTTTTTTGCGTTCGTTGTTAGTATTTGATGCGTGCATTAGGTTTAGGATATACTCCGTCCGTAGATTCGACGTAAACTATGTGTTACATGAACCTAGGTAGTTGATAATATGAAGTTGTTGTTGGTATTGATGTGTTGCTTCATATTTTGTAGATGAATCGTTTAGTGCGATTGTTTCATGGTAGCAAAGTTAAAGGAAATGGGGAGTTGGAAAGCATGAATGAACAACTTAGTTCTTTAGTACACCTCCTAGTTTTGATGCTTTGCTTAGCCAATACCGGGCGAAAGTTGGGTGGCCACTAAGTTTGAGAGGTCTATTTGACTGTGGAAAGGAAAAAGCACACTATGTGCTAATGGATTTGTCATGTGAGAAAGAATTGAAGAACTACAAAGAAGTTGTGAAGAGTAGCAGTGTTAGGAGCATGGAAGTTGTGGAAAAAGAGTCTAGCCCATTTGTGGTGCGTGTGGATGATAATATCGATGTGGAGCTCGTAGAGAACCTTACCCAAGACACCTAGCGCGACAAGCCTTGTCGCGCTAGAGTCAGTAGCACGACAGGGTGAGCCCCATTGAGCGCTACGCCAGCACGGGTCAAAGGTCACCGCCGCTGTGGCACCCCTTATCGCACCAATGCATGTGGCACGATAGAGTGGTGCTGTCACACCTGCCGCAACCAAAGAAGTTAGATTTGTTTATTCTTTTTTGTTGCATAATATTGATTAAAAAGGGATTAAAAAAAATCCGAATCAGTTTACTCGGTCATTCAAACACTAGTTTTCAAAGAATGAATTACAATCAAATAACCAATAAGCACAGCAATTTATCATAAGATTTCGCATTGTTGCTCAAAACTTTAATGTGATCTATAAAAATGAGGATCAAATATACTCGAGGGCAAATCCACAGTACAGTATTGCTTAAAAACAGAACCTATTTCTTCCCTCCCAAAGCCCATTTTAACACCGATCCTTCTCTACATATAGGTCAAGCCAACAAAAACTCAGTCTCAACACAGCATGCTCTGCTTTATAAGTTATAACCGGTGCACACTACTGCAACCAATTATTTAACAAGTCTCATGCCATGATGTAGTGGTAGCTTCAAAGTAGCTTCTCATTTCCACGCCCTGGAAAGATTATGCGCCATATAGCTCTCCAAGAAGATTCTGAACAAGGAAAAAAGGTCAGTAAACATATAGGTAGTTCTGTCCATGAAAAATACACAGATATATGATAACCTGTACTTCCTCATTAGTCATCGAGGTAGTAGTAGGACCCGGCTGACTTCTGTTCCCTGTCCTTTGTAGAGTCCAACTTGTTTATACGTGGCCTATAGTTGGTAGGGTCTCTTCTAAAAGTAATGTCAAGATGCTAACAAATGCATGGAAAATGAAAAAGTTAGTGCAGGGAAATAGATAAGCCAATAATGAAGAAATCAAAGTAAAGGCACATATACAGCAACAGAGTTTTTATGTGCAAATCTATAGAGTTCTCGACTCCTAATGAAAATTAATGTTAGACATCAAGGTGTTAGTAAGGTCTTGAAGAGCCTGGTCTGTTAGAGTCCTATACATTTATACATAGCTTATAGTTGGTTGGGTCTCTTTTGAAAGTAACAAGGAGACGCTACCTAAAACAAAAGAAAACTAGTGCATGAAATTCTAGGTTAATACTATAAGAACCAATGTAAGGTCTAGACTCCAGGTCAATAAAAGTTGAAGCGCAAATATAGTATTATTCAAAATGACTGAAGATTAATCTATGAGAACTGTGTACAACTGGACCAACAAAGAGCATACTATGTTTTTGGTAACAGTCCATATTTTGTTATCCTGCACTTACCGATAAGAATTTATTCATCCCAGATACTAAAGACTGTGGTGCATTGGCATTACAGTCAATAGAAGGTCGCCCCTCATAAACAATGACCTTGTCCGCCAAGTATGTTGCCATGATGAAATCATGCTCAACAATAAATGCAGTTTTCTTTGCGTGAAGAATGAATCTCTTGATGACCTTTGAGGCAACAATACGCTGCTCCGAATCAAGATACGCACTTGGTTCATCAATCAGATAGATATCTGCAGGCTGAACATACACCACGATGTAAGTATGCAGAAGCTGACAATCAATCCAAATGATATAGGACTAGTGGTATCAAGAGGCTCAGCGCCATTAAAAAATTAGGTATATATGGTTCCACGCATCATCATTAACTGGACTATATCATAGTATTCAAGAGGTGCAAAAATGAAAAGTAGCAGAAATGAAAAGGTATCATGCTTGATATATATGAACTATACTTGTCAGCTAACCAAGCTTTGCATCATCACAACTTGCAACGCACTCAACACTCTATTTGCCATGCATGGACAGGGGCCAATATGCATGCTAGAGTCAAAGTACATCGATACACGAAATGAGTATATATCTATACACTTATAGATGGTTAAAAAAAATGCACCGTCTATAGAATTGGACCACTCATAAAACAATATATGATCGGTTTGGTAGATACAGACATGGATGAAAAAAGAAGATAGAAGGTTGATTCCAGCCTGGCTATGTTGTAAATGACACTCAGGCAAGTAGTAGTGTCACATGTGACCCACATACTTCTGTATCAGGAAAATCCATAATGACTCCCTCGGATCGGAAGTACAAGTCATTTAGGATTTGTACCAGTCAAACATCTTGCTTGAGCTTTGATGATAAAGATATAACAAAATATGTAGTTTAAAAACATAAGATTAGTGTTACTAGAATCATTAAGAAAATACTCTCATTTCATAATATATAACCAATTTCATCTAAAATTGATATCTTGTAGGTAATCAATGTCCTAAACGGCTTCTACTTTCAATCAGAATCAGGTACAAATAATAAAAAAGGAGAGTAGGAAAACATTTGTGTAGCTGAAATACAAGGAATATATCCTAGATGCAATGTTGTGAAACTACTAGAACACATCTATTTTATTCCTGTAATATTATATTAGGCCAATCAAGGAAAGCATCAAGTAGACAAAGCAATGTATTAAACAGAACAACAATATTACCTTTCCAAGGCAGAGGCATATAGCAACTCTTTGGAGTTCTCCACCTGATAAATTAACAACCTCCTGGTCCATAACTTGTTCAATTTGCAGTGGTTTCATTACATCAGACACAAACTGAGGGTGCATATAGGAATCCCGAATTTTCTGATGCAGCAAATGCCTCACGGTATTCTGGAATTTCGGGCTAATCTTTTGGGGCTTGTAAGACACATTGAATTCAGGAATTTCAATATCAGTTCCTTCCACTGTGTCTGGCTTCAACAACCCAGCCTGTCCAGACATAACAAATAAGGAACGTAAGATGACAAAAGTAGCACAGACCTTGTGCATTTTTTTTCTAGTAATCAAAGGAATGTAGGAGTAAAGTCTTGAATAGCACAATACAATCAGAGAAAATAAAGTCTTTAGCACCTCAACATGATCGGTCTGAATAAGATTTTTGCACTCTTGTATAGCAAGCAAATATTAAACTAAGGCCAACACAAAAATAACACTACAGACCAAAATGCAATCACATAAGATTTTGCAGCACCA